GTTTTTGATTCCGATGCGCCACTAAATTGTTGATGACTTATGGCCATCGAAAGACAGGCTATCGCAATGTGATGCTGATTTTGGTACCAGGGCTACCTGACAGTCAAATGTTCACGTTGTTGGGTCTTCCTTTGCTCTGCGCCATTGGTGTGTATTTGTTAGATCATTTTCAGGGCCTCTTGGGTAGGGGAAGGGATTTGCCTATTCTTTCATCTATGCCTACTCTGTATGAACTCCGTTTATTTTTTTAGCCTTGAAATCACCTCTCCACCGGCTAATCACCTTAGTCGCTGTCATTTATACTTTTCTGTGATGTTTTGATAAGCATTGTCTCCATTATTAGTTGAAAAATGGCAAGAACATAGAATCGCACACCAAAATTTCCCTGAAACAGCCATGCAAAATGTAAGACATGTTTGGATGATTGTCAAATTGTTGGTATATACGCTTAACCAAAAAGTACGACTGGGAGTGTCTTTACTCCTTCACATTTCTATATACGCATGTATTCTTAATTTTATTTCTTTTAATCGCACCGAATTGAGTAAATGTGTATTTATCTGGTCAAGTTTCGACCATCGTCTCCTCGTTGATGGTAGTTGACGATTGTGAAGCTGACACCACTTCCATGGACTCCAAAGCAATCATTTCACTACTGAACACTCCATTTTTTGCTACAATGAGGCTTTGTTTACCAAACAATGGGTGTGTGCGTCCGGGCGCTTTTTGTTATTGTCAATCGTACCTCTCCATCTTCTAATAAACATTAGCGATGACTCGAAGGAAGTGTGTGAAATATTTGCCACACCTCTGCCGATCCAAGGTATTCCCATTGTTTAACCAGGAAATTCTGCCGGCATTTATGTAAAATTGGCATCGATATCTGCACTTGTTGAATGTTTGTCCTATAGCCTGGTATTTGTTTTGCCTCTGAATAATTTTGTATTTGAAAAATGGGTGACTGGTAGCTCTTCCCTCGAGCTTATTTCTAAACACTTGCTTGTTCCTCTTTTTTGCTTTGCCAGCTGGTCTACGAATTCCTCCTCCGTTTTGTGGAGTCGCCAGAATTCCAGCCCAACGTTGCCAAGCGCCACATTGATCAACGGTTTGTGCTTCAGGTAAGAGACGGAGCAGAGCTTCTGACTTCTGGGGTGCTCTTTTAAAAGGAAAAATCTTGAATTCGGTATTATCCCTCTTCCTGGTAGACAAATCGTTTAGGAGCTGTTTGTCATTTAAAAATAACTTCCATATTTTGACTTCGTTATGTTCTTACGAAACTTGTAGTTTTCTTCTCCCTTTTATTAATCCTAAACTGCAGAAGATTATAGGAAATTGAGTATTAAATCGGTACCGGATTCGTGCATTTTTTCCCCCCATACGTTCGGTTGTTTTGTAAGTCAAATAAACGGGAAATAAACACACGACATGCTGTAAAGTGAGCTCTAGCTTTGAGATATGGCCATTACTCTTTTGATCTCCATCGGGTAACCCTCTGCGTGTGAATCCGTGCCAAAGTTCAGCCCTTGTTTTTGCGAGGAATGCGGAAATCCAGCAATTGGAGCATCATCATTGCCGCCTCGGTGAGCCTGTCATTCTGAAAGGGTGGAGGGTTTGTGAGCCGCTGAGAAGACAGATGCATCTCAAGGCATGCGTGAAGGGGCAGATTCAGTAATTGGCTGGTATTTTGGGCTTAATTTAATTGTTACCACTCATCAACAAGATCTAGTTGAATCAGAAGTCACAAGCTCTTATACAGTTCTGTTGCAACGCTTGCTGGTTTGTCTACTTGACTCTCTTGGGTCAGATAGTTGTTGCTTCGACCCTTTCATTGCATGATGTGGAAAGTTTTTAACAGCTTGGAAACGTTGACTCAGATTAAGGCATTGTCGCCTTGTTGGGAGTCACACTTGGGAAGTTCCCATGCCATCAATTTCCTCCTCAACTCTATGATATGAGTCACAAAATGTACAGTGATGCTAGGCTGTTTGTTGACTGGTTCTTTATGTAAACCGCCTAGGGTTGTGTCATGCGAGGCATAAGTGTCACATCTTAGCTGAAGACGACCAATAACATCAAATTAGCACTTTGGCTTGAAGATGGCAATGCGACAGCTGAAATTTGTGTACTCAATGCCACAATAGATAGTCAAATCCCGTCAATTAGTCGGTAGAAGGTTCTGTTCTTGTTGAGGTACACTGTCTCAGAGTCTACCTTGGGGAAAACCACAATATAGAATGTTAAGATGGTACTGTCTCATCTTCATCTTCCATAATGCCTGTACGTCCTTCGAATTGGGGGTGCTTTCGCGGAGACTGTGCCTAAGGCTAGGCTGCTTGTCTTCGAAGTGCATTCCTTTCCGATATGTAGTGATTTGGCTTGCTTGTGTTCCTTGATGGAAATAAAAGCAGTAAATATTTAAAGGGTTGTTCTGCAAGTATCTTATTTTTTGGTCACTCTCACAAGAGACTCTTTGAACTTATGAAAAGTTAATGTTTCTCTAGTCATTTGGTGTGTTGGCGTGCACCGGGTTGGCTAGTTCGAAGCGGGCATTTGTTTCAATGACTCGTCTCTCAGCACTCGAGAAAAAACTGGCCTGAGCTATAGCCAAAAATCGTACCGTCCTTTTGTTATAAACTTCTTCATTCAACTTCTGCAGTTGCTGGAACTGTTCGACAGTGAGGATCCACGGGAACGCGATCTAGTCAAGACAATCATGCACAGGATCTACGGCAAGTTTCTCTTTCTCCGTTCCTATATTCGCCGGCAGTTCAGCAACGTATTCTACAAGTAAGTGAATCATTTTCTTCCTTTTGAATGCTCGGTTTTTTTTGCCATACCGATAAGCCAGAACGAGGTGAAATGGACTGATTCTTTTTGAATCGTGTATCATTAGCTAGCAACGTGGATCTGATCCACTTGAGAATGTTGCTAGAGCCTTGTCGTCTTAGCAAACACCTCGACTTATTCAAGAAACACTGAGCACGACCTTTGAACTCTCCTAATTTTGCTCACTCATTTTCGCAATTGTCTGAATTGCCGGTAAGTATGTGGTCAGATAATGCCACTTTACTTCAGGCACAGTATTGTAATCTTTTCCACTACTTTATTTAGTCTTAGAAAACGGCATGCTTTGGACAGCAATAGAGCTTGTGATTGTAATTCTTTGAATTGTTTCCGATGTTTCGCTTGAAATTTGCAATGGGCTTTTGTAAATCTCATAGGCTCATAGGCTCTGGTTTGGATCCTCTTATTGCCCAGCTTAGACCTTTATATCGTTTCGTCCTGTTCCCTCACCAGATTTTGATGCAGATCACTACTAAAGTTGGTGTAATGGGTGCCAAATTCGTCGTCCTTTTGACTAGCCAGAGATCAAGGAACTTTTGGTCCAAATGGTTGTGTTAGCAACTATTTAGAATGGATTCATCAAGGCAGTCAACCAATTTATATTTTTTTGTGAATACTATAGAAAATAAGTTGTGTTCTGTGTCTTCAATTTTGACAAATGGATTGTTGGCAGTAAGTTGATCTCAAACATTCAGGTATACAATAAACAGGTGGCGTGACACCATGACGGTCCTGAAAATCTGCTGCGAATTGTATTGCTGGAAAGTCCTAACGTTGCCGCACCATTATGCGGGCTTGGGGTGGGCGTTGATCTCTTTCTGAAGTTGTCTTCGGTGCCTCCTCACCGGCCATTGTTGAGCCGTTCAGATATATCGTTTTCGGTCACTTGCGCGTGTGTTCATCAATGGAGCATGGGCTTTTCACCTAGGCTTGTTTCATCCTTCAGTCCCTTCTCAATATATTGTGATTACTACTGTTTTGAATCCAAACGACAACTTTGTGTTTCTCATTTAGTTGCATCGGAATGTACCATTTGATGGAGATTTTTTTTCCAGTCTTTTAAATGTCACTTTCATTTATCATACTTGGCGATTGCAAATTCGGATTTCTTATCGCATAACGTTAAAGCTACAGAGCTGATGTGACCTTCGGCAAGTCAATTTCTTTTTCCTTTTGTTTAATCTTCTCCTCTTTCTCTTCCTCTTTAAAGGCCTCTGTTGCTCCAGACCTTACTTATGCCTTTGCCCACTTTTCTATGCGAAAATGGAGGGAACAGTGTGAAAAGGGCCTTCCTTTGCAAATCGTGTTATTGCCTGACTTCAACTGTACTGCGATGTGATGCATTCCTATCGTTTAAATGTTTTATTGAGGAATAGGGAGTACCGACACTGGCTTAGATTTTGAGTGGCTTGAATGAATGTGAAGCTATGAAATTTTTCAATACAATGGCCTTATGCCATCACCTCTACTTCAACTCTCTCTCACCAGAGGTGTTCTTCTACACAATGCACTTCCATGACAATATATTTAAGTACACTTGACACTGCCTTTGAGCTGAGCCTAGAGCGTTCAGTTTTTTGAATTACTTCGCCGCCAGTTTTAACCTGTTTGGGACTACTTCGAACAAACCGTGCCTTCAACCAGCCCTTCTGTTATTCTATCTAAAATCTAATCGCAAAGAGTTAGCTTGACAGACTGTGTAATTTGACAAATCAAATCTACCCAAAACACCCGGGTGGGTGACTAAATTCGATCCTTGGACTTGATGTTTCCGTTGTTGTCAATCCACTGACTTGTGTGTTGTTCCTGTCACGAATATGGTGAGGTAAAAGGTCATTGTACCGGTACATTCACAAGGTTAAAAATGATAATCGATCTGATGGGTGGTGACAAAAATATCCGGTGAAGGCAAAAGGTATTGAATTCAGTATTTCCAGTTCATGGAGTGATAGTCCACCTCTGTCCGGAGGGACGTGCAAGTCTAGCTTCCCACTGTGTGTCTATTGCTGCCATCGTGTACTTGGCTTTTTCACGGAAGCAGTGTTCATTGCCATGCGTGTAACCAAGGCACTCATGTTGAATTTTGTGGAGGAGGGGAATTAAAATTTACCAGTACTTACGTCCCTTCTCCTTACAGGTTCATCTACGAGACAGAGCGGCACAATGGCATTTCGGAAATGCTCGAAATTCTTGGCAGGTGAGGCAAATTTCTTTTTTGAGCAATTTTTGCCACCTTTACTTGACAATTCTACTGGAGCCATCAGATTCAATAATGGGTAAACAGTTCTAGATTGTGTATTTTACTTGCTAGATTCTCCTTTCCCTCGCTCATTTGGGTTTGTTTTGTATCCCCCAAATAGTGTGTTTCTGTCTTCGTTTGCCTCTCGGTGAGAATCTGTCATGTCTCTTTGCATTTTAGGAGGAATGTTGATGATTGAAAGCCCAAATCGAAATTGTAGTTTGGTTTGCTTCCCTATAATTAATTATTATCATGCGCGAATTGCTTACGGTGGAAGGTGGTTGTGTGCCAACAACCTCTCATTGCTACTTTGTACTGATTGTCTGGAAGGAGAGACCAAGTGCGCCGAGGTAGCAAGTTGGGTACTTGATTTTCTGTCCGGCTATTAAGACAAGTTGCCAAAAGTTACTTGCGAAACAGGAAATACTGAGTCGCATTTCTACTCAACATTTTCAAGATCTGTAACGTCGGCGTCTTACAATAAAATTTTGTCTCCCTGTAAAATGAAAGGCTGAAGTTAGTAGGCAAGCATTGTTTGGGCAAATTAGAGGGTTCTCACGAAAAGCGCTGCCACAAAATACAAGGTTTACTTCGCCTGCTGCCAAAGGTCGACGACTCATTTGCTATAAAACACGTGACTTCAATTTTGGTTTCTGCTTCCAGGATACCTCATTGACCGCTTGTGTAAGTCAAAAGTAATGCAAATTGAAGAGGCTCTCTGTTTTCTGCGAATTCGGTTCCACTTCCTAAAGCGACTGCTATTTGCTCTTTGCATGCCAGTGGCATATTGTTTAGCTTACCACGACAAAATTTACCTTCACCGGTAGGCCACCCTTGGCTCTCGACTACCCCATAAATGGTATAACAGACGCGATTTTTTCTGCTCTAGACTCCAACATCACCGTTTCAAGTCATGTGATGACACAAAAGTCAACTGAGTTTAGAATGTCACAAGGTTGTGGTATCGAAACACGCTTCACTTTCTGCTCTGCATGTGAAATCTCACGACCCCAAGTGGTTGAATGTGTTAAAATATGCATTTTTTTCACGTGCAATCAGTATTTGTGTACTACAGATTTGTGTTCCTATCTTACTTCTCCTCTCGCCTCCCCTTTTCTCCTCTCCTCGTTGTCATCTCGCACCGCTGGCAAAGCATCCCTTTTTCCATTTGGAAAGTTCACGTTACATTTGGATTTGGGCAGTTGCGATACCGTTTTTTCATAGGTTTTGGGACTGGACTTGTATGTCGTCTGAGCCTTCTTTCGATGGCAGGATGCCACCCCAGGTAGCAATGATCCTTTCCATTGCGATCGCCCAAAATTGCATTAACAATTTAGTCTTCTCCATAAATGATTTCAGGTCTTGACTCCAGCTATCTCTTGTAAATACGAGGCCATTTCGTTTTTGTTACTTTATTTTTCGATGGTACTACTTTTTGTACCCATTGTATCCAGCCAACCTCTGTCACGAGAGTTTCGCGGATTGGATTTCTTTTGTGTCGTTGTTTTGTTTTAGAGCAATTGTTCTTTTTCCCCTAGTGGGTGATCGACATACCTCGTGAGGATTTTGGTGCATACTTTTTTGCAATGACCTCTGGGACTGTTGATTTGCATGTATTACACGAAGCAGGAGTATGCGGCAGTCCAGCATTATGGCACTCTTCACGGTGTCTCTTCTGCTGTTTTCGCCACACTTCTATCCCCCCTTTTTTTACCATCAAAATGTCGAGTGAACTTAATGAATGCTGTCCAAACGTACAAACACTTCTTGTTAGGTTTTATGTATAGCACTTGGAAAGTGTCGGTAGAATCTGCCACGCTTATGCGACTAATCTGTTGGTCTTGGCTGCAATCGTTTCAAGTTTAACACACCACTAACAGTTTTGTTGTACTGAGCATTTGTTGTGCTGAGCAGATGCCCAAACGGGTGTTGATTGTGTATATATGTTTGTGCATATGTGTTCAGGTGTTAATGTCAATCCCAAGCCGTAGTAGCCTTTTCATTACTAAGAACTCGGTAGTTTGGAACTAAATTAACAAGTTCTCTGAGATTTGGTGGATGGACGAATGCTTGCATGTGCTTGAATTTGCCTCTTATTCTCCTTACCTGCAGCATTATCAACGGCTTTGCGGTGCCGCTAAAGACGGAGCATAAAACCTACCTAATGAGGGTGCTCATTCCCTTACACAAGGTCAAGTCACTTAGTGTCTATCACGCCCAATTGGCCTATTGTGTGGTGCAGTACCTCGACAAGGACCCCACTCTCACCGAGCCAGTGAGTTGTATTCCTCTTGTCGCCTGGCTTATGTTCCTTTCCTCAGCCATAACTTTGCTAGTTCATGATTTAGTAGACTTTGACAGTTGTGTTTAGGTGTGGACGGATGTAGCTGTCATTTTCATTCTCTCCACTTGCTTGTCCGCCTGCTGAGAGGCGTGCTCTGCTAACAGTGCAGCAGCCACACTTACCAACTTGAATCTGCGTTTAGTCCTTTTGTGAAGTTGTCCTTTTGATTTAAAAACTACTTTAAAGGAATAGGCTAGTTTAAAGCGAACAAGAGGGATTATTTAGAATAATTTGTGAGTTCTTAAGAGTTATCTAGGAGCCACGATTGCTGTTATTGCTAACCAGAATCGCCAACATGTTAGGCTACTTCCATCATGGTTTTTGACACTACTAGATACTTTATTCCTCCTATCAGCACTACAACAAATACGGGGCGATTCCATCTCTCTCATCTCGAATTCCAAAGGCAGTTTTTAGCGATCTTGGATTGTGCATTCGTCCCTCCACTATGCATATCTAAGTCGTCATCGCAACCATGTCCTTTTATTATTCCTTTTCTTGATCCTATTCCACCTGCCCTCGAGTTCTAGCTCCTCTGCATCACTTCGTTTGGTTAGATGTAGATTCATATTGTTTTACATAGAGAAATTAGTTTAAGGACAGATTTTCCACTTATTTCAAGCAATGTGAACTTTGAAATGGCCCCAAAATCGTTATGTTTAATGCCTCCATAGCCTCAGCGATATAGGGCACCCCGATTTCTACTTGCCCCACCTCACCCCCTCCTCTAAGGCCTCCTATTGGTTGCAATGATTGCAGATCTGGAACAGCGTTGCAGCACTTCATCCCTATTCGTCATTAATCACGAAGTGGAGACTTCCCACATGGATACCAAAAGGTGGACGAGGGATGCGCTAAGTCTTCAATGTCTAGCGAGTTGTTGTCGAGACTCTTGGGGGCATAACGACCAACCCTCTTGACCAGCTGGTCAAGCTGGTAATCACTACATTCCAGGAGTTTCTCCCAATCCTGCTCCACCTCACTCCCTAACAGCTGGTTTATTGCTTTCACTGGGGTGTCTATTATCGTCTCCATTTGTGTTATGCATCCCGTGTCGGTATCCTTATACTTTCTCGGCCCCCTTCCAAGTGGGGATTTTGTGTTAAATCAAGTATCAATGCTAGTTTTCTGCATCGAGTAAATTGAGAAATTTTTTATTTTAAAGCCGTCGCATGTGCATACTAATCCACTGCTGACGCTATATCGCTTCCGGTTGAAAATGTAATCACCCGAACCACTGGTCGATGTATTGTGGCGCCCCTAATCATCATCGAGGATGTAATCAAGTATGCCAGAGAGACTAGGAAATCATTACACCGAAGCGTTGGTTACACCATTGTGGATGGAGAAGGTTAATTTATTTACATCCTGGGTGCTTTCTATCCTATGCAGATCGTGTTGGGACTACTGAAGTACTGGCCGAAGATGCATAGTCCCAAGGAGGTGATGTTTCTCAACGAGTTGGAGGAGATTCTTGATGTGATGGACGCTGCAGAGTTCAAGAAGATCATCAAACCTCTCTTCACCCAGCTGGCTAAGTGTGTATCCTCGCCGCACTTTCAGGCAAGTATTGAACTCTTCTCATCATTCCTCCTTTTCTTTCGGTGGTGCATTACTTGTTTGGATGTTGTTCTTCCTTTCCTACAGGTGGCTGAACGAGCGCTGTACTTATGGAGCAACGAGTACATTCTCTCTCTCATGACCGAAAACGTAGAGACCATCCTTCCTATCATGTTCCCCGCGCTGTACAGAACTAAACAACATTGGAACAAGTGCGTTTCACATCCCTCGCTCCATCCCATCTGACATTACCACTGTATTAGTGTATTTTCAATTTCTCCTTTTTATCCCTTTAAAGAACTATTCATGGTCTAATCTACAATGCTCTGAAGCTCTTCATGGAGATGAATCAGGTCCTCTTTGACAATTGTACCACAAAATATAAAGAGGAGCGTCAACGGTGAGTTCACAGCCTCTCTCTCCTATCTGGAGATATTCTTAATTAAGGTCTTTTTTTCAGGGACTGTTTGCTGCTCTTTTTGCCTTGGTGTTTAGTTTCTTTGAGGTCTGTAAGGAAGGGTTTGGTGGATTTTGCTCCCTCAAGGTTTTGACGGGGACCATGTTATTCACTTCACCCACTATTCGACTGCCCTCAGATCCATTATCCTTACTTACGAATTTGGTATCGACTTTTAGTGTCTCTATTATCTAAATACGCCTTTCTTTCACCCTCTGTTCCAGGGAACGCGAGGAGGCCAAGCGTCGGGAGCGTGCTTGGGCGTCGTTAAATGCCACGGCAATGAAGAATCCACTGTACAAGTTGGTGATGTCTGGCGAGCCCAACGGTTCTTCTGTCATTCCTACAATGCCGACAGCAGTGGAAGGTGGTGGCGCTGGTAGTGCTGGAGCAAACGGCATCACACCGCAACTGAAGCCACAACAGCAGATGCAGTCACAGAAGCCGAGGAATGGTACTGAAGATGTTACCACCGACAATGGCATGGACGCCAGCAGTCCTCCTATTGACAATGATGAGGACGTCAATGCATCGCTCCGTTCATTGCAGCAGGAGAGTGAAGAGGAGGTATGCTACTTCCATCGTTGAATGGCCTCAGTTCTATTGTTCAACACACGCCAGAGGATGAGACCTGAGTTTTGTGCTTCTGCTTATTTTAGGTGCGCAAGCTGGGCGGAGAGGGTCAGGGCACCTCAGCGCTGCCCTTTCTGGTACGCAAAATGGAGAAGACGGCACCGGCGTCATTGCGTCGCAAGTCCGACTTGCCGCAAGATCAAGGCACTATTCGAGCATTGGAGCAACACAAGCGACCCGATCAATTCCTTGCCACCCAGCCCGATCAATAGTCCCTCTCTATACTCGCCACCACAGTTTTATTGAAGCCTCCTGCTCACAACTCGGCCGTTTGTCCGTTCGCGCCCTCATAGTCATTGCATTTCTTCTCTATCTCTTTCCACAACCGCCGTCGTCGGTACCGTTTTCTAGTCAAACAGCCAAACGGACAAATGAATTCAAACCGTGAATAAATAAACCGGCTTTCCTTTTTCTTGGTGCCCGGTCATTCCCAATTGTTACCTCTCTTTGTCCTCCTCCTGCCTTGTGTGTATATGATGCGAATTTTCTTCTCCGGCCTTGCCTATGCCTCCTCTCTACCTCTCTCCCCTCTTTTTCATAATCTCGTCAGCATCACTATTATTACCATTACTATAAGCGTCGACTGCTTTGCAGTCACCCGAGTCCATCCGCCTTCGTTGGTTGTTTCGGTTACTAGTTTGCGTGTTGAGCTTTGTCCTTCCATTTCTTTCGGGTTGTCTGCTTCGCGTTTCTTTTCCTCTCTCCACTTGTGTTCCCAATTTCCCTACTTCTCTCCCATTTCCCTTCCTTCCCTCTCTCTGATGTGAGGACCTATGAGGGAAACAAGTCAACACGCCACTTAAAAGGCAATAAAACAGGCGCATAAATATCGCGTAGGAACAAGTGAAACAGCTACACCGACAGCAGGTCATTATGTGCTCTTTTGCTTGACATAGGGGATACTTGAAACCATTGTTAACTGCTGGGCTCTGCTTTTTGATCTACTTTGTTGTGGAGTATAACATCGAGGAGGAGTAGTAGTCTTCGATGATTTGGACTACTTGCGGCAGTTATTTTGGGTGCTTTTTGTTCTTTTTTGTGTAGTCATGATCTTGAGTAAAATCATTCTCCAAGTTTGGGGCTCTCCATCACCACTTTTTGAAATGAAGAATTGACGATCATCAATGGAAAGGTATTGATTGTTTCCGTTTTGGAATTTCATTGGACGTTGCATTGATATTTGCAGGTTGGAAGGGGTGTTCTTGACGCCGCTTCTGAAGTCCATTGTCTCGTTGCCTTCGGCACGCTGCGCCCGTGCTCTCGTGCGCTCTTCCGCCAGTTGGGTAAAATGACCACGAGCGTAACGGGAGAGAGCAGAGCATGATGGTTTGATGGGGAAAGAAAGAGGAGGCGAAACAGTGTTTACGGACCATGTAAATTAAAATTCGTTGAGGTGATGGGGACTTTGTGTCTGGAAGAGCTGCTTTGGTATCTAACCTCACTCGTAGGCGTTCTTAAGGATGACAAGTTGGTGATTGACGCGGGGCAGTAAGTGCTCTCCTTGCGATCCAATTAGCATAAATTAGGCTGCATGAATGGAGCCTTTCAACCGAATTGTACCTCCGCTCCTTTGGAGGTCTTGGTACTGTATTTATACCAAAGGAACTAGCAAGTTTTAAAGGGCTCTGAAGCTTGTCGCTAATGCACTTAATGTGAGTCCTCAGAGTAGTTATGAACGTTCTTTTTACGGGGTCAAATTCGCAAACCATTGGGTTGACGATAACGCAAGATAATTAGTAAAGTGAAGACGGTTCAGTACCTTTTATGCCTTTTTTACTAATATCTTCTAGACCAAAATAAGAAATGCGGTTAGAGGATTGAAAAGTTGGCATCAGGAGTATTGCTCGGCGAGTCGTAGTTTGCCCCAGGTACTTGGCTCGGTTCGCGCTGAAGATTCCTGAAAAACTACCAAATGTCTGACGAAGTAGGTCGCTCGAGGGTCGTTTTTGACTTTCAGTTTATAGCTAATTGTTGGCTCAGCAGATAAAGTGCAAACACGAGCCTCGGAATCGCATTCATGAAGGCCCTTTGTAGCACGACCTTTCGAAAAGCGGCTTGGTCAAGCCACGTGATTGTTATAGCAAAATGAAAAAGTTCGTAGGCGCAGGTTTATCTAAACGCAATTTTTGTCACCCATCCGCTCCACCCTAAACCACTATTTTCGTTGTACAGGCAAATGAAATTGACATGCTGTGAACGCTGGGCAGGAGAACAACTCTAATTGCCAAATTAACCTTTTAAACACTTACAATGGCTCTTGTGCTCGTATATAGCCCGACCACTAGAGTGGAAGCATCGCACACAAACCAACGCAGACCCCAACCCTAAATTTTTAAAGAGTACGAATATCGCCAGTGAATAGAAACTGGAAACTTTGACTTGAACAATGGTCGGGTTTCATATGAACACGCCAATTACACATTGAACTTTGACTTAAAGAGTTACTCGTATAACATCCCCTACTGCATCATAATTGCAGCAATTGAGGAGTTCAAGGTTTTGGAATTTACTAGCTATTTAAAATTAGAGAAAACTGATAACCATTTCGGCGTTCTCGAGGCTCACACAGCGGGTGCATCGGCACCTTCCGACTAGGCGACCAATCGAACCCGTAATCATGCGAATGCTGCAACTTCAAGGCGAACAAACGTTATTAACATCATAAAACAAATGAATCGTATAAAAATGCTTTTTCTTAAAAAATACAACTAACCCATTCTCAATTTCCACTTTAAAGCACATGATAAAGCATTATGCTAAAACTGTGAAAATTTTTAACATAATGTCTAAAATTAATCACGGAAAGGACATCCATGTAAAAGTAGGAAGTGGTACGCATAAACTTTCATTTTTGTGAATGAAGTCTGGAGTAATTTGGTGCCATAGTCGATAAAAATAGCTCATTTTGTATATAGTGTTCCTGGGCTTCCTTATAGATAGATGACGGCATAGTACTCGGGTGACACATGCATTTAGACAGAGAGGATGGAGTGGGCTTTCTGGAGAACCTTAGCGATACCAGCAATCAAATAAAGTGTCGCGTTAATAGTTTGCCAGTAATTGAGGAGTACGTGCGGCATGTAGGGGTGGAAGATATAGTTGTAGTCCCACCTTCGTCATCTCTCATATTCCTACCTGACGTTTTCTCGGAGACAATTTGCTAATTCACGTTTTATTTGACATTGCAGCATAAGGGAATCAGCATTATGGAAGTAGGATGGCGATCATGGAAATGTCATGAGGGACCCCTATTTCAGGACCCGTAAGCACCTAGAAAGGCGAGACTGCAGTTGAACGTGAACTAGAGGCTCGGTAAGCGAGAGGTACGATTCTTACTTTCTACTTGCCCTTCGCGTTGTGTGACTTTACGAACTCCAAAAGTTTCGTACAGCTCTTTTAAGAGACGGATTTTAAAACTAGGCCCTTGATTGCTATGAGTAGATTCGGCCACACCATGTCGACAAATTCAGCGATTAATGAATGTAGTCACTTTTGTTACAGCATTCAGTATCTGTAAGGGTTTAGCTCCAGCAACCTTAGTGAAATAGTCTACTGCCACCAAAATATAACAGCTCCTTCTTGGGGTCGTTGAGTGGGCCCATGGCGCTTAAGCCTATCCTCTTAATTGGAAGTTCTGTAGGCGTTGGCTGAAGGGAGGGGACCGCAGTGCGGTATAAATTCTTGAAGTTGGTACGCATGGCGCACGTGCGACAGGGTCCAAGGGCATTTCAGCCAGGGCCACCAATACCTAACCTTTTTAACGACAACCATCTTTTTCCCCCACATGGCCTTGTCACTCACGTAACTTCAACAGAGCTGTCTGCTGGCACTGCGAGGCGTTCGGAAATGCTGCATCGCCTTTGTACCACAGGATGTCGTCTTACAAAGTGGGCTTTTCTCAGCTCTGCCATATTTGTTTGGCTCTCTTGCTCACAAACCCCATCTCCTCAACTATGGACTTGACCAAGGATGCCCTTAGCTTTTAAACAGCGTACTCATTGTAGCGCCATCTGCAATTGGCGAAAAAGGTCTGCGAGACACTGCCTTCGCATTGTCCTTAGCGCTCCCATTCCCATACTACGAGTTGAAGTCATGTCATAGCAGCGAGCGACCGATTCAATTCATCGTCTTTAACCACGTTAGTGCCTGACGGTCTGTAGGCACTATGAATTGCTTGCCTACCAGATAATGTTTGAAGTGCCTAACCATCTCATATAGGGCAAACAGCTCCCGTTCCGTTGTGCTCTCCTGTCGCATTTTTTTTTAACCGAATACTAACGTAGATGATGGCGCGTTCTTCCCCATCTTTGTGCTTTGAGAGAGTACACCGCTTTCTATGTCCAAAACAAAAG